CACTGAAAGTCCAGGTTTTGGGATGTTAAACAGAAACAAAATTTCATTGGTATCACGAAATTCATTGGTACTGATCCCGAAGAGTTGCGGTGAAATCCAAATTTCTTGATTTGTTTGCTCTTTTCGGTTTACCAGACGTACAATTATCATACAACGTTTCCATTACTTGGCAGAGATAGTGTGGTGGCAAATGGCGACGCACTATTGCCCACACATGGTCCGAGGATCAAATCAACCAAGACTTTCATTTCTGAAGTTAATTGGGGTGAGATTCGACTGGGAGGATAAAAACACTGACTTGTACATCGCAACATACTGTTTAGGCCATGAGCCTTACGCATTCATATATCCAATACGACTCTGAACGGAGGGCGAATGCAAGAACACATCCCAAGTCATCATTGATCAGCTCCAAATACTTTATTTTACTTTAATGCCGTCCCATATGCCACTTGATTGCTAGTTGTTCAATATTCAATATTCCGCATTCGTTCCGGTTATTCCAACAAAGATACTTACACTGTAACCATTATATTTTAAAACTTCAATTTGTTGGCACTACTTGGGGCAGTCTCCAAGAAGGTATGAAGCGCTGCCAAAGTGTGATGCGCGCAGAAGTGAATGCTGTCAAGTTGTCAAAGATTGCTACTCATCTGTTTGTATCCGGTGCAGTACATTATAGTGGGAGGATATCCATTTGACAAACTTTCAGGAACATTCAAACTTTCACGGACATCCCTACAAAAAAAGGTGTAGTTAAAAAAGGGAGACCTATTTTAGTGCCTAGTAGCCTACACTTATAGCCATAATGACAATTTCTTTTTTGATCCATTCTTTTCAGATTGCTCTTCTCGGGATAATATTCAACGTCCTAGCATTACATACAGTGCGCATGAACCCAGCACTCAGAAGCTCTTTTGGACTCCTTTGCCTTTCACATTGTATTGCTAACCTCGGCGTGATGATCGTATTCATGTTCTGGGTAACACCAATAAACTTGAGGTAAGTTTATATATACATTCACTGCCTCCCATAAAAACAGCTCGGTTTTCACCAAGAGCTGAACTGGATGCTTCTGCACGGAGTGCATGATTATAATTTCAGAATCTGGCCTACCTAAATGAGAAGATCTTCCTCTTTGATTAGATGTGACAAGACTAAAATGTGGGTTACTTCTTTGCAGGGGAGCACACTGACAGAATGAAGAAAAACGTCCCTCACCCGGATAGAATTGAAAACAATTTCAGCGCGTCTTGTATGGGCTTCGATCCGAATTTCTCAATTTCTCCATCTAGCGCCGAACACGTATTGTGTGTCGAGGAGTATTCCTGACTATTCCTGACATTGCTTTACCACAAGTATGCTGGTGTAATAGTCCTCGTTGAGAGAAACTCAGAAGTTACATAATGGCTAGCCAGATAAGAACTGCAAGGCTAAAGAGGAAATATGCCATCTCCTTGAGAGTGAAATATCCGTTCATTTCAGAGATAAGCCCTGACCCGCAGTTGTGATAGGTGAGTATGTCTGGAAACGATCATTGAACGGACTGACACTCCATAGTACGGTTATGAATTCATGCAATAAAGAGACCAGTATGAAAAAGGATTTACACGCTATGAGGCTTATTGCATTTTCATGCCTCATGAAATGGCATCAGCAAGAACGTTCAAAGTACGTCGGGTGTGGGTGTGCTGTGGTCGAACCGCCCTATGTCGATTTGGTATTGGTCCTGATCGAATAGGCATTCAACAAAAATAGGAAGTTGCCTTCCTAGTGACTTCGAGAAGGATTATCAGAGGGGATGAAGCATTATCAAGGGGGATGTTTCCCGCTTTGATCTGAAGTTGATTTCTTTTCTAAAACTGATGCTTTTGTTTAGACTGCACTCTAAGAAATGCCATCTTTTATTACACATCGTTTATTAGTTATGATACCGAGGGTTACTCGTAGACCAATAGATAATCATTTTGAGTATAAACCGTAGTGGTGAGCCAGGAGAAATGCTGTAGTGCAGAGGGTTTACTGACCCTGACTGAACGGACTACCCGTATTACACTTTTCCGTTGCACTTACACCTTCCAGGTAGCATCCAATGCAATTCCAGTTCGTTCCAAACTTCTAAGGCGAATTCAGAAAAGAAAGGTAAGGCTGAAGAAAGGTCAATTATTGAAGCCATCCATATACTGAGGATCCGAAAATAATTGATTACGCGCATATTTTGATCAGTGAATCTTCGGCTTCAAGATGGATTTCAAAAAATTTCACTTTCTTCCACGGTGAAGGAAGACAGATAAGATTTCCAAATTTTTTAGCAGTTATCCTAGAAGGTAATCGTGATGAATACGGTGATTGTATGATAAGAAAGGCTCTAACTGTCATGTTATCTCTTAACAATCTTTTACTTTTACTACTTTCTTTAGACAAAGTAGCATGGCTACTGAACTGCCTGGAAAAATATTTGGGCAGCTGATCATGTTCTTCTGGGACGTATGCGTCTACACTCATCTGCTTATATCAGTCAATCGACTCATTGCAATTTCGATGCCTTATCGTGCGAAGCATGTTCTTGAAAAGAACTGTACACTCTGCTTCATTGCTGTGGTTTGGTTTATCGCATTCTGTCATGTGGTCCCGTATTTCTGGGGTGAGTACTTCTAATTAGAGGACTCGGTCCGTGCAACATTTGGGAAGACGAGGGTTGGCGAGCGACTGATCCGTGAGGGTGATGACCATCTATCCAGATGAACCGCCCCCAATCTTCATGTTCCCTGCTCTATGGACTCGATCAATCATCCAATATCCATTGTCAGCTTTTATTTTTACGAAGCATGGTTACTCTCGAAAACCACCTGTTAGCTGATCACGTCGTCCACGGGTACCGAAGAAAGAATCCCAGATGTACGGGGAAGCACTACTACCGCTTCCATCTTCAAGCAGAAAGGTTTCATGGCCTCTGCTCGCGACTGTCACGAAGATTTTGTAACCGTACCTTAAGGCTCGCCGTGCTGTTTGATTAGTTTCTCAACCGTGTTAAAGGCACCGTTCACGATAAAAAAGTTATTGAGTTCTTACCTTATTAATACTCAGCGGCCCCCATGGGTTGTAGAAGGGACCCTCTCACTCCCCCAATCTCGACGTCCAGGGTATAGTGGCAGCCCCGTTGTTGCCGTAGTTCGCGTTCCTGCCCCTCGATCGGTGTCACATTAGACGAGTGTCGAGACAATACAGATTGCTATTATTCGTTCTAGGACCCACGCACAATCAGCTAATCGCCGAGTGATGAGGCGACGTTTTTCTCCCATTCTTTTTTCCTCTGTTTTTCTTTTTGCTGCCGCGATTCCTTATTTAATTTCCTANTATAAAAGAATGAATTTTTTCTTACCATTGTCTGTTACTCGCACCAGGACCCAGACGCGCGCAGTGAAACACACTGTTTAGCTCGTCCGGACGCCCCACTCTTCTTCATTTTTCTGGTTTCATTCTCGTCTAGCCCCCTTTTTAACGTTTTTTCGAAGCCTTTTTTTTACTTTGAAACACCGATGCACGCAGTTTCTTCACTTCAGTCCCCTAGTTTCGATCTTGTCTTCCATTTTTCATCATAACCTGGATTACCCAATATGTCGTGAACGGTACCTTAAAATGAAATGCAAACCTCCTAGTTTTCAGTTTGAAGGGTCACAAAATGGCTTGAAATTGTAGGTAGGTACGCGACACATTATATCATACATTTAATGCAATTAATTATATGATATAATGTGGCACGAGATGTAACCATGCAGCCACTGTTCATCGTCCGGGCGACTTCTATTTGCCTACCCTTAACAGAGAGGCAGGAAAGACAAGGGTTCCAAGAAGACTATGGTAAGACTTCCTTCGAGCCGTCATGGCAACACTGATAAAATACAAACAGTTGGGATATGAGTCAACTTATTGAGGAGCGATTATTTCAGTCGATTCGTGCTACGTTGTCTTCGATACGCAGAACTGGGTATGGACATTTGCTGATACAAGGTGTGGCTATGTTATTTCAACATATACAGACCTCTATACTGGCTGCACATGGTGCGCAGTTAAAATAGTTCTAGACTGTATAACGGCAACGAAACTAAGGGCGAATAATAAAGTGAGTGCACTTTACATGCTACCAAACCTATATCATTATCATTAGCAACGGAGGTTTTGTAGATGACTCTACAGCAGTCTCAAGGGTCTTGCACAACGAACCCTCTGCGTCAGTCACGAAGAAAGGTTGAAGTTCGATTTTTTTGTCAAGTGAGTTTCCTTTTCCTTATGTTGTAAGCGTAAAAAAGGGAAAAAACCAAACCCAAACAGTGTTTGTACCTTCGCCTTTTCGTCGATAAGACTGGGCTGTTTTTAACCCTGGTAAATGTAGTTATACAGGCGCCACAGGCGCCGGCGCCAAATGCAGGTGGGTCACCAATCTTGCGGAAAACTTGGGGCGTAGCGTGGCGCCAGGCATTTTCAGGACGAATGGATGCGATATTCATGTTCTACGGGTCAAGTTACCCCTCTAGGCAAGTTTCCAGTTGGTTCCACCTTTTTGAAAAGAATTCCATAGAAATCCAGCCTATTCTCGACAAAGTGGGGCAGTATAAAGGGTAAATAGTGCCTGATTTTGATATTCAATAGCGGTAAAGGGAGAACGTTCGTTGCGCGCGCCCGTCGAAAGTAGGTCACCCCGCCTACTTCGCGCGCGGAACACCCCCTGAGGTCTCGAGACAACCTTACAGTACCGCCAAGTGTCGGTGGAGCGAATGATTTGCATTTTTCCATGTTATCTTCTCTTTGACTGACTGTTGTGGACTAAGCGCAACTCGTATGCCCCGCTGACAACTGCGACGTTTGTCAAGTATCGCGGGCTGACCCGCCGCATGCGACGGCTGCGGCGTGACCTAGTTTCGACGGACGCACCCGCAGTAAAGGGAACCGAGCGACCGTTTCGTTCCACAGCGCCCGTCTGTATTGTGAGACAATTCGAAGTTAGGCTCCTTGAATGAATTGCCTCGATAGTAAGGTGAAGCACAGTGTACAACTTCTTGACGGTTTTTTTTTGACAATCAAGGCGACATAATTCCTGAATTGAACTGATTAGTGCACGCTAGATGCTCGCAAGCTCGCTCGATGCGTCGAAAAAGGGAAAACATTAACATCATCCCGAAACCCTCTAGTAATCCTATTCTTCGAAGCTTTTGAGGCATTTGCTTAACCCTAACCCTTGGAACTGTCCGTCAAAGTGATTTTTCAAAACAGAGTAAGTTGTCCTAACAGGCGCCGCCATATCGATTCTAATGCCGTGAAACGAGATTACCACAATAACTTTTTAGTCATTTTTTTATTTGCAGGCCATTGTTCAAGGCAGCATATTCCTTTGTGGTATGATCAGTTTCTATTTTATATGTCAACTTTTTACTGACAGATGGGCAGATTTCATAACGATGACTATTCCTTGGGAGAGCTGTCATGCTATTGATGGGTAAGTTGTCTTACCCAATGTCGAACACTAATTGCACGGTAAAAAGCATGGATTTCTGTGGGAAGTTCACTTTAGCTCATGGTAATAGTAGTTCTTTCTTACATTGAGGCAAATTATATTCAACAAGATTTTCTGAATAATGGTTGACTGGCAACTATGTTGCAAGCAGGGTTTTGGTAGGGGTTCAAATATCCGATTTGTTACAAGGCTCATTGAAGTTTCAAGTGCCAAAAACAGTAAAAGAACAGTGCCAAAAATGGACCTCATTCTTCTGCACCTGAGCAAACACCGGTCACTTCAATGGGTGGAGCCTAGGGCAAGACTAGCAAAGCACATATTAGCCCAGCAAAACCCCCCATGGGGGGCTGGACATGCATCGGAATGGGTGGTGCTCGAAGCGAAACCACTTATTTTGGCTTAATGAAAGCTCAGACACCAGGAAAGATGAGCAAAGGTCAAGAATGTTCAACAAATCATATGAAGGAGACCTGTTGTGGGAGGAGCGTCCTCAAAGTGGATGGTACTTCCTACATGGATTCATAACTCGGTTAAACGAAGGTGTGGACGCCAGAGAAGAATATAGAGGGGATGAGCAGGGCCTCATCATGCTGAGCATGCATAAAGTTAGCGAAGCTCCGCCCACTAGTTGCGGGTGTGCATTCGAATGAAGGGTAATTTTTAGAATTGTTTATAGGTTTGTTAAAAAACGTTCTTGGAAGGGACAAAAGATGGTCAGAGGCCATCCTTACTATATATAAACCACAAATATCCGTTTTTCTGTTTGTCTTTTGTCTGTAACTATCTTATGTGGCGCCATTTGGGAATCAACTGGAACAGCTCAGACAGGTTGGAACAAGTGGGGAATGGGTACATGTGACTCTAGCTAGCTCCGCTCACTATGGGCGGGGCGTGCGCAAAAATTGTAGCTCACCGGAAATCTGTAACTCCTGTTCTCCTAGGTTTAGAGTATTCAAATTAGGCAGAGATGCAGGTGGCAAGATGGGAAAACTAATCACAGATGGCAGGCGTAGAATCCGCCCACTAGAAGCGGGGTTTGCGCGAAAACAGTTAATTTGGACCTGCGGCGTTCAAATTTGGCAGAGATGTAGGCGGCAAGATGGGAAAACATATCACAGATGGCAAGTGCGATTTGTGAACAAAACTTTGGACGAGACTCGAATCCGTGCTTCAATAATAAATTTAATGATTCGAAGGTCCTTCCTTAATATTCGGATAGTCTCGATTAGTATATGGACAAACAAATGTAAATGGTTGCCGAATGCAGTTTGCTAGAAATGTGCGCTCTCGATAAACGGCTTATGACGTTAATAGTTGGGGTCGGAACGATACTGTTCATTTTTACTAACAGGGCGGTTACTGTTTTGCTAACATGCGCTCCAGGTTATCTCTAAGGAAACTTATTTATCAAAAGCCATGAGACGCGCACGGTATCGTGCGCAGGCCAACTGGCCATCTGATAATGTAGACCAATAAGATCAAGTACAATAGGACGTCCTTTGCACGTCTCGGCACTCGTCTGACCACTGGGTGGATGGGTAACGGGACTTCTCCCCTATCGCGGCATTCTCCCTTGCGGCATGCGGCAGATGTCACTGCAATTACCGTACTCACCTCGCCTCCCCGCCAGTCGATAGGACGCTACATTTTTTGTTGATTGCCTTGCTTTTTTATTGGATTCGATCGTTTTTTCTTCTGTTTCTTTTTCGTTTTCATGTTTATTAGACTTGATTAATTAAAATAACTCCTCCTATGTAAGCGGCGATCAAGACTGCATTGAAATTGAAGAAAGCGGTCAGCCAATTCAAATAATTAAAGGACTCCCTACTTCACAAATTGCGCGCTCCAATCTTCCATCGCAATCCTGCGATACGCGGCGGGTGCGGTGTGTGCGACGCCGTATCAAGGGAGAAGTTCCCGGACCCCTGGATCGATGAGCGTGGACGTCAACGAATCCGGTTATGGAGCTAATATTATGCCCTATCCATTGAGTTCTCGTTCTGACAGCGTCCTGTGTTACCCTTAGAGACCATTGGGTAATCTTAGAAGGGAATCGTAAGAACCATTTCTATCGTTAAATGTGCCTTTCGGGCTTAATTGTGAATGGTACAGCCTTAACGCCGGTCAAGAAAAGTGCCACCTATGTATGTTGGTCAAACCGGTTTTGGTCGTTTTTTGACCCGACAGTGTCCCATGTACTACTACTCCTCGGGGGTCACGGAGGCCACAGAAGCTTCCTATAAAAAATCTCAGAAATCATTTTATCGTGAACTATCGTGAACTGTGCCTTCAAAAGGAGTAAGAAGATGTTTCCTCGAATTTTGTATGTGAAACTGAGACCAATCCATATATAAAAATGAAAACGCGTAGAGGGAAAATGACTGTATAAGGTATAAGATTGAACTATTTAAAGATTTATTACAGACTCGTCGTGATACTATTCCATTTCCGACTGTCATATCTTCGCTTGAGACAAAAGGATTCGAGGCAAGATGAGACGCGACGTTATGGAACGTCTCGAAGCGAAATGAAAATTGCACCTGTGCAACACTGATTACAATGGTATCCCATTCAGGAACCCCCATATATAATCGTACAGCAGAAGGGTCTCAAATACTTGACAACCCTTGAGGTTGTTTTTCAACTGTAATAATTTGCAGCCTGAAATTTCATTCATGTATTTTCGGCGTCCAACAGGCTTGTCACTTTTTTCGTAAAGATATACTCTTACTGTGGCTCTAGTCTTGTAATATACGTATTTATTTCACACCTTCAAAAACTTCATGTTCCCTTCTAGTGTAAAAAAAATCGTGACGAAAGGCTTCAGCAGAAAAATGAACCGGAACAGGAGAAAGCAAAGAAGCCTAGGCTTTCACAGTAACCTCTTTGATAACAGCAAAGAATTTCCCAGGTATCACAGCAGCTGAAAGAAGACACTAGCATCTTACTGGGGTTGTACTGTAACCGAGCACCTAGTGAAGTAATAGACCCAAAAAAAAATTGAAGAAGGGAAACAGGTCCTGCATTTCTGTAAGGGTGAAGTATTACAATAAATATTTCTTTCTGTAAGGGTTAAGTATTACAATAAATATTTCTATCTTCAGAAGGAATAATAACTCCAGTAAGACCAATCCTACGCACGAAGCAATAATTGATGCCTCCCGCCAGCTAACCACAAGTCATAAACACATAAAGTCTTAGGGAGTCGTTAAAACTGCGAGTTCTGGTGAGGGCATTGGCAACTCGATGATGGAGTTGACTTGCCCTCAAAGCTACCGAGTAGCCTTGACAATTAGCAAGTTGAAGAAGCACCATCTCCAACATTTATTTATACCTCCAACAATATAATAGGCCGGTCAGAATAGTCCTTGAACAGGATTCAGAAGTATGAAAATGTTTAAGCTCAAATTGAGATATTATAGTAGTTGGTCGAGTGGCCCACTGTCCAGCGGGAAGGTATAATTAATTCCGAATGAAAGCTCACTGAATGAATAACTTAACCCTTTGACGACAATGGCACCCACCGGTGGGTTCCACTATGACTGGCGCACGGGGCAATGGCACCCAATTTTGGTTGCTACCATACTTTCTTATTTCTTACCAATTGCTGAATTCAGTAAGTCAGTGGAAGAATTTTCTCCTGTGACAGTGCCACCCACGGGTGGGTGCCAGTCGCGCGCGGAG